AAAAAATATTATTTATATTCTATTAAAAAATGTGTTACCAAAATTAAGAAAATATATGTTCTGACAAATAAAATAAATCAGAAATAGTGATAAAATCAACTATACAACTGGGGTTACCATGTCTGTTGGTGTCTGTGTCCAGTAATACCATTACAACTCAGCAAAAGATGACATTTCATCATCCAAAAAGACACATAAGCTAACACAGAAAGACGGTGTTACAAGCATAATTTTTTATATTACATTTTGATATCATTTTTATATATTATTAAATAAATATATATTTAATATTATAAATTTTACATAAATTAAAAAAATTAATAATTTAAATAATTCATCAAATTATATCAAAAAATAATATAAAAAAATTATCCCAAAATCATTTTCTAACAACCAAATTTTATCGGCATGAACTTTCTCGCTGCTCCGCTTATCTCATCTCTCTCCCCTGTCTTCTTCCCTAAATCTCTACTCTCTGCTCCACAAAATTTCTCCCTTAAGAAGAATATATATCGGTCAAAGAAAGAAGAATTTTATATTAGTAAACTTAATTGGGTGTTAAAAATCATTAATTATCTTATTGCAAAACCTCTTTCGATTATTTGATCTTGCTTTTTCAATTCTTGATGTTTATATAGATCTGTTTAATTTTGTATCTCTTGATCAAGAAGGTGATAGAAATTGTGCTTAATTGAAATCGAGTGACTGAGTTTATGCGAAAATATGTGATTAATTTTGTACAAAAAGGGGTGGTTATTTTTTCTGTCGATGATGTTAAGAACAAGTAAAGTGAAGAACTTTTGTGTTTTTGATTCTTGATTTTTGTTCAAATAAGTCAACCATGATATATTATTACCGTTAGCAAATTCCGAGATGTTGATTCAATGTTGGAACATTGAAATTTACAGTTTTCGTGTATTTAATTATCTGAAATTTTCTAACACGTGGGATAATTGGAAAAATTGAGAAATTTTTTTTTCAAATTGAAACATTTAAAAGTAGCTTTAAGGGTATAGTTCATTTTGTCCAGGATACCCAAATTGAAGATATAGCTAGTACGTGGTGTTATCTTTGTGAAGAAAGCGACTTTAAATAAGATGTGTTTTAAGACTACTGGAATTTCATCACTAAATTTAAATGGATTCTCTAATTTACATAAATTCACGCATAAAATTTGTCTTTTATCCTAAATCTCAGACTTAAAACCAATCAAATCTAAAATAACTCATATGTTTGAGAGTTGAAAGGGAAAATGGAAGGGAT